TGCCATCAGAATGAGAGTCCAAACAACTGATAAAAACATCACAATAATCCACAAGTAATCCACACAACTTCGGTCCATCAATTAACATATCTGAAGTAAAAAGCTGTGTGTTTGTAATAAACAAATCCATCAAGACGTTTTTAACTTCAAACCAATGCTTGTGGCTAAAATATGAGTCCTCTCTCCATAATATTGCTTTCTCCAAGTTGCTAAATTTCTCCAAATCTCTTCCGATAAAGAAACAAACTCATCTGCATCTTGGATGTCCTAAGGATGAGTAAATCTCCTGCAAATTTCCATTTTTGAGTGAACAATTCCTTTAAATAAGTAAAAGCTAAACTGACAGAACAGTCTTGCCATAAAATAGAAAAAAAAATCTAAACTATTATCCTAACTGGTAGTCTATGTTTGTTTCTGTAGGCTGGCAAGCTCTTAGATGAGTCTCGTCACAGGCAGAAGGCACTAGCTCGCTCTGCTCTGGCTGGCCGAAGTTTCTCATCTCCACAGGGTGACCTGGACATGCACCGACTGAGGAGGGCGCTAGAGAAGGTCTCATTTGAGCAGGCCGTAGCGAGCCAACTGGAGGAGAGTGACACAGACACCCACAGCACTTCACGGGGAGGTGTATCCCGCCCCAGTCTGACAGACTCCAGTGAGGGAAAACAATCTTATAGTTTATGCATCAACATAAATACACACAGATGCATATTAAACTCGGTCCAAATATTAAATCATCCTTTTCTTTTTACCTACCACTCTCTATCCAGATGGCCTCCTGTTCGCCGCTTCCCCACTAGACTGGGACACCTTCACCGATCCAGAATGCCTATTTTCAGCCGCTCCCCCAGGCGAGTTCCAGGCTTCAGGGGACCAGTGTCGATCAGTCATCCATGGCATGCTGGGAGGAAGGGCCGTATCCTGGGAGGTCCGTGTGGATCTGTCTATTCTGTGGGACACAGAGAGCTCAGCAACCCTGCAAACCAGCACTGGGTCCTGGGATGAGATTATCCACCAGCTGACCGCAAGATCTGTCATCAGAGACTTTGAAAACATGGCGGAGAAAGAAACAGATATTGAAGTTGAAAGAGGTCTGATAGGAATAACAGTTAAAAACAAAATATTTGAATTTGAATTCAAGTTATAAACAGGCTGCTCCATCCATGTTTTTTTTCTCCTGTTGTTTGGGTGTGTAGGTCCGTCCAAGCGGTACAGAATGAAAGCGATCCAGACCAGCAAAAGTTGTGGAATCGTCTGCATGTATACAAGCTTCATCACCACAGACACCAATGCGAGAAATCAACCTCAGAGTACTCGCATACGACACACAGATACACACATATACTGTAGCACAGACAATCCACATAATCTCACAAAAAATTAGACAAAACATGCTAAACTACATGGGGGGAATGGAATTCTCCTGTGTGTGTGTGTGTTAGGTGTGCGGTTTAGGACAGGACACAGTTCTCACTCTGGCAGAAGACAGAAGTTGTGCTCGGTGGGATTCGGACGCCGTCCCTCCAGCAGAGCCAGTGAAGAAACAGAAGATACACACATCTCGACAGGTACCTTAAAAGTTATATATGCACACCCACATATAGTACATTTTAAGTAACATACACTACCATTCAGAAGTTTGGGGTCATAAATATATATATTTTTTTGAAACAAATTAATACTTATGTTCAGCAAGGATTAATTAAATTGACCAAAAGTTACAGTGTAGACATTTATAATGTTACAAAACATTTCTATTTCAAATAAATGCCATTCTTTTGAACTTTCTATTCATCAAAGAATGTTTTAAAAATGTAGCACGGTTTCCACAAAAATATGAATCAGCATGACTGTTTTCAACTTTGATGATAATATTTCAGAATATTAGAATGATTTCTGAAGGATCATGTGACACTGAAGACTGGAGTAATGATGCTGAAAATACTTTGCCATGACAGGACTAAATTACGCTTAAAAATATATTTCTATATTAATATAGAAAAGTTATTTTTAATATTAATATTTCATATGACGACTTTTTTTACTGTATTTTTGATCAAATAATTGCAGTCTTGGTGAGCATAAGAGACTTGTGAACGGAAGTCTATCTGTAATCACAAATTGGGCCTAAATTAGGATAAATACAGCTCAAAATAAACCAGTGTTTACAAGATTATATAATTTATTTGCCTCAAACAAAGCTCTTGAATACCTTTCAAAGGTTTAATGTCATGAATCTCCAGCTTTTAGCTCAAAAGTGCTCTTTGTAGCAGCCTTGTAGCCCTGTAAACATGACTGTGTTGCCCATCACACTGATAAAACCCCTTGCATCCTTACTGGCCAGATCAGCCAATCAGATTGGAGCTCACAATTTCAGCCAACTCTTGACATTTTTTTTCCACAATATGCAGTAAACAGTCCATAAACAGTCTGAGGCTCAACAAGCACTTCCAACAAGCAACTCAAATACAGATACCTGAAAAGGAAACCCTCTTAAAATACTGATTCAAGGACATCCATGAAAACTATGAGGCTGTAAAACAATGCATTCTGTTCAGCGCAACTCTGAATTTCTGTTCTGTTTTCTTGGACCCAGACAGAGATGACACACCTGCATCCCCTTGTAGCATGACATCCTGGGACAGCAGTAAGTATTGGAGACAGAAAGAATGCATTAAGCTGTAGTAACAATAGTAAGTGTGACCGCACCTTTAGGATTGTTTATACCTTATTAAATGAGTGGTGAATTATGGGTGTAATAATGAAGTTGTGTCTTTCAGGCACAGGAGGGAGCATCAGTCCATCAGTGGCGTCATCTCGCTCTCAGCGCTCTGTGGAGAGTTTCTTCGGGTCCAAGTCAGCATTGACCTGCAGAAGTATCACACTTTGTAATGATTTATACTTTATTGTACGATCACACTGAATTTCTGTGTTCTCCAGGTTCAATCTGGGCAGACTAAAGGGCAATAATGGAAAACAAGCTCCTCTCAAACCTCACTGTCTTTCTGCAGAGACTGACAGACACCTAGAGACAGACACGCCTAACTACTTGCCACTGGTTGGTGTAATTACATACTGATTTACAAAATTAATCACAGCGTAAAGTCAGTGTTACCTACTTCAGTTTTCTTGTCCCCACAGGTCTGCCTACAGTTGGCATCAGGTGCATTTCTTCTGTCTGAATCGTACTCCGAGTGCATCCAGATCCCTCTGGACCGCCTGAAAAGAGCATCTCCATACCTGAGCCACCGCAGCAGTCTGAACCTGAGCCACCGCAGCAGTCTGAGCCCCCCTTTCCGTTGTACCTCACCACCCGCCACATCAGCGAGACATATGCAAGACTCATGGTCCGACACCGTGGAGGAAGGCTCTCAGAAATTGGTAGGTGCAGTCCCGCAGACTGACAGTGGGCAGGGCTCTGAGACTGACATGTGTGAAGGTCCTCCTCTGGATCCTGCAGAACCTCATGGAGAGGAACTGGCGCAGATGGACGTAGAGAGCTCAAGCTGGGCCACGGCGGTGGCTCTAGCCTGGTTGGAGCACCGTTGTTCTGGGTTTTTTGTGGAGTGGGAACTGGTGGCTGCCAAGGCAGATTTCTGGCTCAAGTGTCAGTCGCTGCCAGAGGGTGTTACACTGGCAGGGTTGAGGGCAGCGGCCAGGCAGCTTTTCCTGCTGTTGCGTCACTGGGATGAAAACATCAAACTGAACGTGCTCTGCTACAACCCCAATAACATGTGAGAAACTGCCAACAGGATTTTTGGTCTTTAATTGACCCTGTTGGCTACACTCACAATTCAACTTTATAGCAGAATAGAATTCATCTAAGATGTCCTTTAAAAAGGACTGGAAATAAAGGATTCTAAGTTGTGTTCAAGTTTTCTCATGCCCAGACCATAATACTGTACAAGCTTTGCCTTAATCTTTGGGCCTCAGTCTAAGTAGAATGCAGTTCACTGCAGATCTGACAACACTGTATCTTAGCAATAGCAAAATGACTAGCATTGGATGCTTCATGAAAACAATCACCAACATTTATAGCAGGCCAAAATTACACATTCTTGCCTTAACTTAAGCTACCGTTCAAAGGTTTGGGGTCAGTAAGTTTTTTTTTTTTAATTATTATTATTATTCAGCAAGGACACATTCAATTACAATGAGCATTTTAGAATGATTTCTGAAGGATCATGTGACACTGAAGACTGGAGTAATGATGCTGAAAATTCAGCTTTGTAATCACAGGAATAAATTATTTTAAATATATTAAAATAGAAAACATTTATTTTAAATTATAATAATATTTCACAATAATGTATTTAAGATCAAATAAATGCAACCTTGGTGAGCATAAATGACTTCTTTTAAAAACATTTTATGAATCTTACTGATCTTTTGAACGGTAGTGTACAACAGCTGCTTGAATTTGATTAATCTATTTCTTGCTTTAGTCAAGTTTTACATTTACATTTTACATTTAGTCATTTAGCAGACGCTTTTATGTAGGCGGGTGCTGAGCCTGTGGCTGTTCTATATGCAAGCATCAATGTCTTGAACTTGATTCGAGCCGCAACCAGTAGCCAGTGCAAGGAGATAAAGAGAGGTGTTTTAGACTAAACTGCACTTTATTTCAAACCACCTTTTTTTTTGCAGTGACTGATTCTGTCAGTATTACTCAGTTTAAATGCTGTTATCCATATAAACAGTCTGAATAACATTGGTAAATTGTATTTTTGTAGGATAATTTGTGTTTTGTTTTTTGACAGCAATTGAATTCTGTGTGTTTGGCAGTGACTGCTTGCTTTTGGCCTCCTTGAGATTTTGGATTTTTGGAGTTTACTTAAAAGCAAGAGTTTTCAAGTAACACCACAAAAACAATCTGCAAAACTTGGGGCTATATTTTTCATGTTCAATCATAAGAAGAATCATAACTATGGTAACTATAATTATGAAATTGTGACTTTTTATTTTCAATCACTTACAAATCTATACAATAAAATGCTCTGAATGATTCCAAATGATGCTTCCTCAGGTTTTAAGATACTGTTGTTTCAAACAGTAAGGGCTTTAATCGTTCACTGTACCTTCAACCTGGTTTTGCCCAGACATTCGTAGCTGTGAGGCTGTCAAAAGCCTTGGAAATGGAATAAAATCATGAACAACAGTTGTATTATGATTATCGACTACACTTTGGATTAAGCAAATCCATGTCATGCAAAAAGAAAAGAAAAAAAAATCCAACAGCAAGCAGATCATAAGATTAATAAGAACAATCATTCATTCTTTATCACAGAAAAATAAAAATCACACTCTAAATATGAAGCATTTCAGCATTGAATCTCTCGCTCTTCATGCTAGAAAAGGAAAAGGTTTGGAACGACATGAGGGTGAGTAAATGATGACACAATTTTCATTTTTGAGTGAACTACCCATTTAAACGAAAACAAATCCCTGAATAATTATGAATGAGCTTAATGTTGAAATGCAGAGATATTCTGTTATATATAACATCTTGTTCAAATAAACTGTCCTGAATGAGTCCATTGGCCAACAAGAAGAGATCCTTGAGGTCTCAAAGGTCAACTATGTTGATAAGCTGCATAGAAATGAGTAATTTTTTTAAATGTCCTTCCAATAAAGATCCATTCACATTTCCCACTCCGACATCCCAGACTGAGCATCACATTAGTCCTTAAGAATCCTGAGAAGCATTGTAAACTCTCTGAAACCCCCAAATAGTAACTTCACACTACCTCCATTAACAAAACCCCCCGATACCGTTTCAGCATCAGACTCAGGGCACAGGTCCCACTGGAGGACAGGGATCATCCCACACAGTGAGTGCCCTGGGCAGGCCAGGGCTCAGTGGCGCTTAGCCTTGTTCTCTGACTTCTGAGACGGAAGAGCTGGAGTCGAGTTGAGCCACAAATAGAGCAAGATGATGAGATGGCAGACGTGCAGTGATAGAGAGCTGTAGTTGGTGGACGGATACGTGTTCCAGGACAGTTCTATCAGACCCAGAATGGGGGGGGGGGAGATGTGGAGGCTTGACATATAACAAATTTGTACTAATCAACTACGATTGTGTTAACTAGTTAATGCATTAGATATCATGATCTAACAGTGAAAACTACTGTATAAAATGTGTTCATTTCTACATATACTAGTGCATTTTTACATTCTAAGTTGAATAAATTAACATTAATTTAAAGGGGTCATATGATGCGATTTCAAGTTTTCCTTTCTCTTTGGAGTGTTACAAGCTGATTGTGCATAGATAAGATCCCTGAAGTTGCAA